ACAGACCAGTCTTGGAGTACGATTCGCGAGCATAGCACTGTACTGATCATATATTTCTTTCAACAGCAGTGAAAAAGTTGCAACAGTAATCTAATCCGGTTATCACGCCAATCTGTGTTAAATCATTTATCAATTTGGAAGACAGGACAATTCAGCGACTACTTGTTACTGCCTTGTCTACTTTGCGTGGTGCCGGTGTATATTTCATGCAAAAGTTTATCAGTCAAAATTGACCGCTGCTTGACAATCTGACCCTATTTTGCCCCTGCTTGGAGATAACGTTTCTTTTTTTCGCCAAAGAGTACTGAGTGAGTGAACTATTCGTGATTAGTATATGTAAAGGAAGCTCCAGATGCCACTCCAACGAAATCGGCGCCTCGTCGCTGCGGCAAGTCTGGAGGCTGTTAATCATCTGCATTTATGGCACTGTCAAGTGCTCTTCCAGCTCCGTAGCCCATGGTAGCCGCTGCCGCTAATCCCTTGGCGCCCAGCCCGACGACCCCCACGGACTGGCAGGTGGCGATGATTCCGCCGGCGGCCATGGAGGCCACGCCGCCCCCGTTGGCGATGGCAGCGGCTGACATCAAGCTGGCCGCGGTGGACCCGGCCGCTATTCCCCCGGCGGTGAAGCCGATCATCGGTAGCCCGAATTGCGCCGCCCCTAGGCTGAATGCCATTACAAGAACCGGTAGAACCATCTTGAATCAAGACTGCTGACACCTGAAGTGGCGAAAAGACGTATACAGTGAAGTATGTCAGATAACGTACGAGCTCCTTCTTTTGAACGATACGTCTCCCTATTTGATACCAACACACAGGAATCTAAAGGCCTATATAGTATAGGATAAACAGACCATCACGAGCCAGGTTGAAACGTACCGAGGGGCACAACTTTTTGCAAATCATGAATCTCATCTTCAACGTTAGGTTGCCAGTAACACGCTTTCTGCATGAGAGTATCGCAGTGTGACGTCACTGTGAACCACAAAGTGCAGTGCACATGAAAGGAGTACGCGCGCGTGTTGATTCACTTCTGGCTCTTGGGCAAATCCGTCTCGATCAGAAGCACCCCCCTTCCTTCGGTTAAAAAGAGCCACGTTGGGCGAGAGTATTCATTTTGCTGGTAGCGATGTGACTGCAACAATTGAGTTTCCTAGTTGTTCGTGAACTAGCGAGGCGCAGTTAGTACCAAAGGGGCCTCCCGGAGGGAAAAAGCGCCCTCTCGTGGTCCAGATCGAGGCCCATGCCTTTTACACACATTTTTTATCGTGCATTTACGCCATAGTTGTGTTTTTCCCATACGTAGCTGCTAAAACTATGGCTGTCATCAGACCAGAAGTAAAAGACCGGCTTATTAACACTTTGTTAAAACGACACGCAGCTTAAGGGCAATATTTGAACAAATATTTGAGGTCAAATCGACAACCAATCACGGGGGGATTCAGTTTTTATAACCGAATTGGCTGCCCACACATTGTAGGCAAAATTGAAAACAACAGGGTTTGATAAAAGTGTCTGTTGAGCGTGAGGGTTTCCGAGGGAATGGAGGCTACAATTTTCTGAAGAAATTCACAAGCAGCCGCACATTATTATTAACTTAAGGGTTTAATTTTCCGCAATATGAGCATTCCGTACACGTAAAATGTTAACGCCATTTTGTATGAGCGCCAACGGGGATGCGTATTGTACTTTGACAAAGGAGACTGCAGGTTTTGCATATGTAGCAGGTGCTTCAGCCAACCAGTAGAATATTCAGCAGAGGAGTGGAGCAAGTTGCCCCCGACAGACGTTTCCCTTTTGAAATATATATAGAGAGAAAGCGCCAGCATTTTAGAAATGATACTTTTACCCACTATACTACCTCTCTGGGATTATCCGTAAGGATAAAATTACTTTTTTTGAAAAAAAATTCTTCTCGCTCCATCCCCCTTCACCGACCTGAAACCAAGCAAGAGTTTGCTTTACAACCACGTTTACGAGATGAAATATGGGCCAGATCTAGGGTACCTGGGTCAAACTTTTTCACATCTCAAAAACAGGAGAAATATGAAGTGTACCGCTGATTTTGGAAATTGACTCAAGTACGTTTCTATGTCCTGTCCTGGCACAGGAGGCTCATTCAGCCTCCGGTAAAGAAACGGTATACGACGCAGTTGGCATTAATCGAACTTGGCTGCGGACGATGATGGGACGAGGCTTTCAAGTTCGTGAGCATAGGAAACAGTCGGACTTGAAAACCGTTTCGCTGAGCTACGACACGTCGATCAATGATTAAACCTGACCCTCGAAGCCCTGCAACCTTATCTGCCCTGTTGCATTTTTGAAACCCAGTCAGCCGCAATGATCGAGAACTACTCTTGCTTCTCACCTTGAAGAAAAACAAAACAAAACAAAACAGAAGGAATAGAAGGAACTTACCACAGAGAGACAATCTTCAAAGAGAAATTTAACGTAGCCAAGCAGCAATTTGACACTGCAAACGTAGGAATGCAGTGGCGTAGGTACTGTACTCGATCACTGAAAGTGAATGCATGCAATGAAAGTGATGGAAGTTACTGTACATACTCAGTAGAAGCGCGTACGATTGCATGATTCACAACCTCAACCCCGCAGCTTTTGAATAGACTAATTCCTCACGTAAGCACAGTTACACATAACTATAGGCTGGTCCCCTGCCATATCTAATATATAACGGCTGATCGCAAAACCGAATACGACTGCGCATGTCGTTAATGCCCTGTTCTATTATATAGCGTACTCACAGTTGATAACAGTGATCAAGCTGTCGAAAAGTGACGAACAAGCCCCACATTGGAGAAACCTTGTTTTGTTCTGAATAATTTATTCCAATGACTGAATCACCTAAGATACTTCCTAATTTTGTTTTCAATTTTGCTACTGTTATTATTGTACAACGGTACAGGAAGAACGGCAGGCAAATTTGCGCATGTACATGTGCACGTGGCCTCTACACTGAGAAACACTAATTTGTACAGAACCAAAATCGCAGATATCAAGGGATCTGGTTCATAGGTCGGCCAAGTTTCGGAAATTATCGGCCGCGAGGGATTCCTTCTATTTCTAAAATGACTGGGTATCGGACGATCGTCATATTAGTCGGGATCTTCGGGTCTGGGAGCCAGACGAGCATAGACGAAGGCAAAGGGGCCCAGACACGTATGTTTCCTCCATCACAGCCCACTTTCGAAAACTTCAGGAAAACTTCGAAATCTTTGTTTCGAGCCTTCAAAAATCGCATCAAAACGTAAACAAGTTACCGCTTACTGCGAAAAAAGCTTGGCCCAAAATTATTAGTTTTAACCTCCCTGGTATTTCTCAATTTTATTTTCATAAAACACGTTCGGAAAAGGCCTTATCATACCATAAAAAATATTTTATTTCCTAAAAGTGAAAAAAGACGTAAACTTTCATGAAGTGAAACAGTTGTTTCCCTCGCACGATCTTCCCATGGCCCTCATTACGCATGCAAATGATCCTGAAAACGGGACATGCGCAGTTAATAATTTCCTTCTGAAACTACAGCCAGTGTGGCCGACGTGTTTTTTACGAGAATGTCATTGATCCCCTAAGAAAATTGATTCACGAGCTTTTCGATCACCTATGGTGCGATCGCAATACACAACCAGAGTACGAGGTTGTTTTGTGTCACATAGCTGGAAAATCCCGCATGGCGCAATATATGTAGGCCCTATACGCTATAAATAGCACAAGCAACCGTGACGTGGCATTTCCATGCAAGGTCTATTCATGGAGGAAAGAACCCTCCTTCCTCGATGGTCTATTGCAATATCGAGAAATATTAACAAATTCGGAGGTACCTATATTGATTTGTTGGTAGACTTACATTTAAAGAATAACATAATAACTACAGTTAAGCGTGAAACGGATTTGGTTAGATGTGCTTGAATCCTTGCAATACACGCACACGTTACTCGAGGCTCCCTCTAATGCTTTCATTCAGTCGCGACAAAATAATGTCACAAGGCCAGTGCCTAGGGTAGCTTCAAACAACTTGTTTTGCGTGTGTATTACCGTACACACGATGGCTGGGGAGGCAACTGCAGCCGGCGCCCTATCAACGGGTAGCCTGGGAAATTATTCCTGAGGTCAGAGAGCAGTTTGGCCGATTCCCAACAAAAAGGGCAAAGGTCGAGACTTGGTTCTTTGTTGGCCTAGACTAAAGGAAAAATTCCTGGAGTGACAGTCAATTTTGATGGCATGACATGCATTATCATGAGTCTAATCGGTTATACTATTTTAAAATAACAAAGAGTGAATTGCAAAACTTGAGGAGAATTCGTCCAAAGGTCCTCTTCAATTATGAAACACGATCTTCTGAACGCTCGAGTCGGTCAAGAAATTGAACCCCACCGCAAACATATCAAACCAATTAAAACAACTGTACATTAAAACTATAAAAGCAACAAAGCAAAAAAAAAGTTAAACAAAAGTACGCAGAAAATACATTGGAAGGGAATTATCATAAAAAATAAAATACCAAAAAGGTTATAAAATTTAAAAAGAGAAGGGAAAGCTCACTCTTAAATATCGTGGAGAGCTACTTCCAAAGATGAATTTAAGATACGTCGAAATGATGGTGCTGTTTTTCACAGACTGATCCATGTTATACACCACACAGAAGTCCCATGACTCAGACATCAGTCTCGAACTTACAAGAACCACCCAAAGCATGTCACATGTTGTTACTGTGGGGCTTGCTTGTTTGTTTCACGCGGATCTCGATTATGCAGATCTCGAGGCGATGCGTCGTCGGTTCACTGACTCGCACACAACAGACCGCAGAGAAAAACGTTTGGGCCACAGATACGTTTGAAACAACGGGCTCTGTGTACTGGTACGGTACGCGGGAAAGCTGAGCGGAACACATGGCTCTCAGGCAGTCACTGTGGCGGGCTACAGGTGTCATGCAGGTGCAAATACACCAACTTAAAAACCGCTTGCACCCACAAACATTTTGTTACAAATTACAACAGGGCGATCAACCTGTTCATTTTAAGAGATCATTTGCACCCACACGATTCTGCCTTCCAGATGCCCCACACTTGCACCCACAGTCACCGTGGTCTGGCGCCGCCACTGTTCTCGTCTTTTTCCATGTAATTATGGAAGCGGTTACCCCTAAAAGCAGGTAAATTGGTCTTAAAAGTTGTATTGCGTGCGGAAGTGACTCAGAACAGAGGGTTAATCCATTCTAGAAAGTCTTTCAAAGTTGTGTCACGTGAGTGATGCATTGTTGGAACTGTTATATGACCATTTCCTCGTTAGCATAAACCTGCAGGATTCCTCAGGAATCATTACGCTCTACCGGTCCTTATGTTACAAGGACATCTGTGTAAGACGTCTGGAGACTACGTACGGGACTGAAACCAGTCTAGCCAAATCTGCACTGTTCAACTCCTCTTTCAAAAGTTATTGTCTTCACTCGCTTCGTATAATTATAGTCACCAAGAAATGAATAATATATATCGAGGGGTTTACAAACATTGTAGGACGATCCAGTGCACAGAGTTCTTGTTTTTCGGGAATTGTACTACTGCGCACCTGTTGCGATGTGAGCATTGAATTAGCAAATGACACTGTCAACAACGACACAAGAAATATGCAATTTCAAATACAACAAAAACGGAAACCACCTCCACGGTCGTTTGACTCCCATTATCCAAGGACCGACCCAGGACAGATTTTCGGGGTGGGGTGAAGCTTGTTTCGAGGGCCCGAAAAATTTGACATTTTTTGATGTAATCTTTTAATGCCTTTTTTTGGAGGGGGGGGGGGTTAAGGCTATGTACAGTTTGGGGCTTTTTACACGCTTTCGAAGGGAAATAATTTGCCTCAAAAAAGTTTTTCCTTATTTTACAAAGAAATTGGGGGCGGGTGTTTTTTGGGGGGGGTGGCGATTTGTTTTGCTGCCGGATTATCAAAGCACAAAAATGTCAGTGGTTAAACATCTTTAACGTATCCCAGTCTGCGACTGCCAGACGCCCTTCGGGGGTGAGCGCGATACCGTAAGGATTTCGCAACTTCTGAACGATGCAGCCAAGAAAGTTCCCCTCTCCGTCGTAGGTGTGAATGTGGCCAGTATCCTCGACCGATCCAACCACAGCCACAAAGATTACACCGGAACCGTCGACGCACAGTCCCCGGCAGGAGATCTTTCCAGCGTCGGTAGATGGGTTGATGGTGGCGACAGTTTCTCCGCTCCCTCGGTCGACGATGACCACCTGTCCCTGGTCCCAGTCGCTGAGGACCAGGCGGTTTCTGGAATCTATGGCGATGTAGTTGGGTTTCACAGGGACCGACGTCACGACCAACAGAGCCCCGTCTGCTGCGCGGTGCTCCGTCACGATGTTTTGGCTCGCATCGCCGACGAGAACGTTACCGGCGGGTGTGCGGGCAAGGCTCTGAAGATCGACCGGTTTGTCCAGATTGGTACTGACCGGGAGGGCTGTTTGAAAACGGAATTCCTGTTTTCTGTTCGAGAATATCTTCACAGTGCGTGATCGATCCACCACAATGAGTCGTTCTCCAATCATCGAGACATCGTTGGGATCTGTACGATTTAAGAAATCACAGCACTTCGGTAATTAAGGCAAAACAAGTTGCTATAAGGAGAGTCTTGCAGAATCAAAACAAAGATCATATCCTGACTACATAACGACATGTTTTCAATAATTTATGACACAAAAGAACAAACTGAGAAACTTTTAATTTGAATCTTAAAAAGCCATAAATAAGCGAACTCAGATGGAAATGGGAAGTTGTAGGAAACACCCCCGGTTTACCTCTGCAATATTTTAGCCCCTACTCATGAAACAAGACCACGATGGTCATATTGTAGGTACGTGTATTTCACAGTCCCGTGGATCAGCTCGTTGCAAAAAGTGGAGATTTGGTGTCTAACGATCGACATGCGCTGACACAATCATGATTGGCTCGAGACTAATTTCCAAACGTTGGTGCGGATTTTGTACCATCGACGTCACTCCATAAACACACAAAATACTACTTATTAGTCAATAATACACCGCTCTAATTGTATGGGCGGCCAAAAGTGCTAAAACATCACCCTTTGGTTGGTTTGCAATTTTACCTCAACTTCTTCCAAAATGTTGATTTCTCCCACTATTTTCAAAGAGGCTTAATTGCATTTTCATTTGGTATTTTAATAGCAATATCTGCAGTGATTTGATAGCTGCTTTGCATTTTTTACACTTAATTTGTGATTTTTACTTTTGACTTTTTTTTGTCCTTACGGCAAGCCATAGTTCTGGCAGCCACTTTATGAGAAACCAAACTGTGGTGTAATGACACGGAATCTGAAATCAAGCCTCGTCGACCCCTATCTCAGCAAAAAAATAACCTTTTCGAGTCGAATGGCCCCTTCCTATTCACTTTGACCCGAAACGGTCTCGTTTGGCCTGGCAAGGATTGAACAAATTTAAGTTCAGATCCCAAGTCAATCTAAACAGACTCGCTGACTGTGACAATATGAAAATCATATACATTTGGTCTTCACATTGTTTTGAGATCAATGCGTACATGTACGAGTATAGAGGCTTTGCGTGGTAGCCATCTTGCAGGGCAGTTCTTTTGTTCCACACGGAAACCGCCTGTGTGCGTACCCTGTGGAACAAAAGCACTGACTTGCAAGATGGCAGCCAAGCGAACCCTATTTTAGTAGCTCACACTCGTCTAGCTCAAGGCGTTCGTTGACCTTCCCCAACGGACTCAGCAACACTAGCTTCCGTGACTCGCAATCAGCCACAGCCAAACCACCTGAAGAATGAGCGGCAAGGCCTCGAGCCCAACCAAATTCAAGGGCAAGACGGCCTTGCTCACCAAAGCAGTCGAAGGGCTCCCACATCCAGGTACTGCGTCGAATCAATCGACCTAAGGCTATCTGGGAAGGCGGGTCGGGAACAAACTGCATGAACTCTGGTTGGACGTTGGCAGCAACGAAGTTTTGGCCGGCCATCTCTTCAAGGTCTTTGATGAGGAGAGAGCACACGGACAGGATGTCTCCGTTGGAGGAATTTTCCGCCACATAAGCAGCCGAAGTGACAGCTTTGTGGAGGTTTTCTATCTCAGCTCCTGAATCCTTCACGTACTTGGTGAATCTTTCCCCATGGCACAGATCAGCTTTGGCCAATTCTCCCAGCAGTCTTTCCTCTGCAGCCGTCACCCTTTCTCGAATCTTTGCCGCCTCTTTGCGTATTTCTTCTGCGACATGACTCCTGTTTTCCTTGCCAGCCAGAAACCTCTTGCTCTCATAAGTGTGTTCCGAGCTGATCTTTGTTGCCAGCTTCTGAAGACTTCCTGCGAGTTTTTGCAGAATAGCTCGCTTTGCCTTGGCGACATCCTCAATGCTCTCGTGAGCATGCTGCCTGACAGCGCACGACTCCTCAAAGCACCGTTTGCATATCAGCTCCTCGCAGACGGTACAGTAGAATCGCCTCCACTCCTTGTCGTGGTCTTGGCAGCACGGACCGTACCTTCCGTTCTTCAGCTCCTCGTGACTGACAGTGGTGTGCGTTGAGAGCACCTTGACTCGCTGATGAACCACCCTACAGGACTTACAGAGGTCCATCGGACAATCGAGGCACTGGAAACACGCGGCCCTCCCTTGGTCGCACGACTCGCATTGCGCCTGAGCGTCAGAAGACCCTTGCCCGGGTGCAGTCTCTTCCTTCATGAGGTCCTCCACCAACGACAACAGAGGAAAGTTGGTTCTCAGGTCATCGATGCCCTCGTGCGGCAACACAGTATCCTGTCTGCAAACAGGGCAGCAAATCCTTTTGGAATTTGGGTGAGATCGCGTCATTACGCGCAGACAGTCGCCACAGAAGCTGTGCAAACAATTCAACGTCTTCGGGTTCTTAAACGTTCCTTGGCAAATTGGACACTCCAGATGCTGGCCAATTTTGTTCAGCACAGACGAGCAGTTCTCTTCCATTCTGTTTCATTAACAGCTGGGGATAAATGGAAGGTAGAAACTGTTGAGGAAATCAAGATTTGAATTGTAAAAAATGATACTCATACAATAAACCTAGAGCCATTATATTGTTGGCAGTGTTCGTCAAGCAATCTACAAGTACATTTACAATGCACATGGAAAACTAGTCATGTAGAGTTTTATGACAAGAGTTGAATAGGCCTATTTGTCATTAACTCAGATTCAATAAGAACACCTTCGGACAAGACTAAGAATATTTTCAGCCAGCAATTTAATATCTCCGAATCGGAGGGCATAATACGCTCAGAATTATTAGACTTATAGTATGCCCCATCCAGTGACGACCCATATCTTGCCTACAAACACCTCCCAACGATCTATTCATACGAATAGTAAGCCTACAGAATCCACTATAACAAAATTTCAACATGTTTTCGCCCTTCGGAGACAAACGATCCCCGCAGGTTTCAGGACGGTAGGCTATAGTAACGCCAGTCACCGCCAACGCACAAAGTAAGTCTATTTTACTATACATGCGCGCATATTGCGCAGACTCAGTGACCATACTTGCCTGGACTTGGAAAAAATAAGGCTAACTTCAAGCAGATTTCCGGCCTGGTTATTGCCGCCGCAAGCTGCCCCAGAAAATTGCTCGACCATAATAATCTCGGCTTTCAAACAGCAACCACCGACACGTCCGAAAGTACCAACTAAACAAGGATTCTATGTGGTACAGATAAATGCACAGCTGTGAACAGACCTGTATCACGGCCATGTTCGACGCACGATGGATGTTGGGAAGGTATGGCCGGCCGTATGTACAAATTAAGCGAATAAATAATTTGAATAGAGTTTTCAGACTCGCCAAACAGCTATCAATACAGGAAGCGATAAATATCTCTATATCACTTCATGAAAATACCTCCATTGCTGATACTAATGGGAGAATGTGTAGTTCGAGGTAAAACCTGTTATAAACCGGGGCGGACATTCAGCAAATTTTGGCCGCCCATATTCAAGATCAAGGGGCTTCCTGATGTCGAAATGGTAGAGGGACTTTCCCGACGAGCTCTCGGTCAGAGCTGGCACACGACAGGTTCACTGTTACGTTGCTGGTGTGCATGTACATGTACCATGAAATCCGGTCAGAATGAAGCACAGGCTCGACTAACCGTTTTGCGCACGATCCACGCGGGGAGGTCCAGCTTTGCTGGTGGGGAATTCAGAAGCAAATGCCGTTTGATGTTGGGGGGGGGATGTGACCCGCTCTGCAAAAAAAAAATATTAAGGGCTGCTCTGTTCTATGTGGAGAGGGGAAAAATGTTAACGGTGTGATTTTTACTTCTTGGTTTATTGGCTTCTATTATATCAATACTTTCATAGTTTATTTCCAGAAATATTATTATTGATGAATACAGATGAAAAGACGAACGGTTTGTGTCCTTTTGCGCGACTTTTTGTCAGTTTGCGAAAGAAAACCCTCAGCATTACGCCTTCACAGTGTAGGACATGATTATGTGACAATCAGTATGTTAAAGCTTATAATGTGACCAATTCAAAAGTATAGGCTAAGTAACTCATTTAAAAAAAAGTCACAAAATACCCATTTAGGTGGAGCCGGTCACAAATGTCAAAAGTCTACTCACACCCCAACATTCTTGTTTATATTTCGTGGTATTATTTTCTTATAGGTTTTGATGTAAATATTTGATAAATAAATGTACTGATTGTACTACAAAAGGGAAAAAGTGGGGTTAAAATCCGTGGAGGGGAACATTACCCCTCCACCCCTCAACTGGATGAGCCACTGCCAATAGTTCAAGGAGATCGGTTTTTCAGGGACTTTTTTTTCTTACCACACCGTTCGATTACAATCGCACGACCCATCAACAGAGAAATCAAATGGCGCGCCGTTGGGCAAGGTTTTCACAACAGAATTAATGTGACCCCAAGAAGCCTCCTATGTGAAGAAACTCTCTCATAAGGCCACAATAGTGGGATGCCCCCATCCCCCCAAAAGGGAAGCTAGAAAGTGGGGCCAAGGGGAAAAATGGGAAAGTGGAAGCCTCAATAACTGACTACAACAACATTTGGTAGTCAACAATTGAGCGCCATATTTTTCTCCGGTCGTGGTAGGTACCAGCGCCCGTGTGCTCGCGGTCTTTCGGTCTGTACTTTGGTTCAGACCGAAAGACCGCGAGCACACGGGCGCTGGGGTGAGTTGCACGCAACAATTACCATGAAGGGCACCTACTGTTCACCTACGCAGCGAGAGGGAGGGGTTACAAGCTTTT